CAGTCAGTCCCCATGTAGCCTGTCTGCCTGCCAAATGGAGTCCCCAGCTTCACCAGCAATCAAGGCCCCCAGGGGTCTTCTGTGGAAGCATACCCCAGCCAGCTGGTGTATTGATCAGGCAGTGCAATTGCTTATAGCTTGGCCTCCAGGGGAGGCCTCCATGTCAGCTAAGGCTTCCAGTGAGACTGGTATCAGGGGCACCTGTGACCTGGCCTCTTCCCTGTCAAGTCAGCCCAGATTCCTCCAGCTCTGCTTCAGGGGTGACGCATGCAATTGTCTAGGATGTGGCTTGGATTCCGCAGATGCCACGAGCCACTGAGAGCTTGGTCCCAGGCCTAGGCTCTGCTTATGGCTGTTTCTTTAAGGTTCAGGCCATGTGGGTCCTGTGGCAGCCATGTAAAGGCCATGTGTGCTCAGCCCCCATCACTGGCCTCCAAGGCCACCCTGCTGGTCAGGGCCATGCTGGGCTGTTGGGATCAGACTGGCCCCCTAGAAGCCTGCTCTGGGGCTGGGGCTGTGGTCTCCCAACTCAGGTCCAGGCTTCCCCTCAGGCCTGAGCGGCCTCTGCATGTATAGCCAGCCCTCCTCATTTACCTGCCCTACCAACTCTTTCAGCTGAGCCCCTCCGGGAATGTTGGGCTTGGGCCTGTGTCCCAAACTGCACCATCCGAGGGTGGAGAGGGGTTACTCCTTGAAATTCTTCCAAAGGCAGCAGCTTCAGGCCGGCACAGACAGACCCTTTTGGAACTGGGGGCTTTGTGGGTCCCAAGGCTTCTCACACAACCATGCTCCCTGGGGTCTGTCTTGAGGTCTGAGGGGTCAATCCACAGCCTGCTCCAGGGCCCAGACTCTCCCTCCCTCCTATTCATCTTTTCGGCTCCACACAGTCCCTCAGGCCTGGGCCTCCTTTTCACGCCCTGTCAGACATCTCTCATCGTGGGTCCCCGATGATCAGGCTCAGCCTGAGGGTGCACAGTCAAGCCCCTCACTACCACGTTGCTTTTGTCTGCTGGTAACCTCATGGGCTGTTGGGCTCAGTTTGGTGCCCCAAACCTACGTACCACCATGGTCCAGACTGGTTACTCCCTGAAATGCTTTCAAAGGTGGCAGCTTGAAACTGGCCACACACAGAGCCCTTTCGGACTGGATGCCTGATTGGGCCCAAGGATCCTCTAACACTCGTGGCTCCCAGGGGTCTGTTTGTAGGGTCCCCGAGAACATCCCACACCCCCCAACCTGAACAGAGCTGCCTAGATTCCTCCACCTGTGCCCTCAGGGAAAATATGCTCAGTGGTTCTGATGAGTGATTAAAATGAGGCAGCTTTCTCCTCCTAATGGGCCAACTTCAACAGCTGGCTCACATTGCTGGCTTTGCTGGGTTTTGTGCTCGTGGATGCACAGTACAGCCCCTCTTCGACCGCTTGAGGGCAGTGGGGCCAGTTAAGACCCTCCAGGCCACTGGAGCCATGATTCGCTCTGGAACCACCCCAACAGCCACCAGGGCAGAGAGCCCTCCTACCCCAGAGTGCTTCTTCGGAGGCAGTCCATACTTCAACTCAGTGGCTACTAATGGGGTCACTGGCTTACCAAGAATCAAGTCTCCCAGGTGTCATAGTGAAGAATACCTTGCAGCCACATAGTCCTGCACAGAAAAGGCAGTCCACACATTTTTAGCAATACATTCTGGAATGAAATGTGTGCATTTTTCTAACACAGAAATATGAATTCGGGAGATTTGGGGGCCGATACTGAAAAACTTCCACAACACTAACAGTCTACATCTATCTGTCCAATCCCCAGGTAGAGGGAGCCCACACACTGAAAATCTTTCTGAGGCGGCAACCTTCAACTGGCCACAGTCACTCACCCTTTAGACAGGCTACGCGATAGGTTCCCAGGCTTCCCCAACACTCGAGGCTCCCAGGTTCCACCTTTGGCTGGCTCCCTGGTCCTGTGGGCAGGCCCAGACCTGGCAGGACAAACCCAAGTCCTCTAAGTCTGCCCTAAGGGATACCAATATGCCCAAATGTGCAGGTAAGGCTTGGAAAAATGCAGATGCTGACATGAACCCCCCAAAAGTTCCACCAGTCCCCTAGCCTGGCTGGACATCACCCGGTTCTGGGTCCTGGCTCCCCGACCTGCCCCACCCGGCCCTGCACAGTCAGCACCCTGGGAGCTGGCCCCAGGTGGCCAGGGATGTTCCAGGCCTATGAAGGTCTGGCCTAACCTGTTCACCTGCACAGCCTGCAGGGTGACGGGCGGGCACTCTGAATGGCTTTCTGAGGCTTCATCTGATACTGTCAGTCCTTTTGGGGACTGGCTGCCTCTGTGGGGTCCGGGGCTTCTTCAGCAGTCAAGGTCTCCCAGGTGTCTCTCTTTGCTGGGCTCCTCAAAGTGTCATTTGACCAGAAGGAGCAAATGTCCCTTCTCTTCTGAGCTGAATGATTCAGTCACTCATATTTCTAGCCAGAAAACTTCCTTAAGCCTTATATCATCAATTAGTATAATGACAAAGTAAAACAACCAATCCATCAACTCCAATCCCTCTAGGTTATTCCTACCTAAACCGGCCACCTTCAACAACTGGAATACGAGTCAGGACCCTCAAAGGAGGTTGGGATATCATGAGAACTCACTTGATAAGCCCATGAGGTGCAGAGAAGTTAGAAGGGCACAAAAGGCCTGGGTTGGAATCAAGCGCCGTACCCTGCTGACTACAAGAAATGTGGATGCAAAGTGAACACACCAATTAGAATCTCTAGAAGAAAAGAGTTTTATTCCAGCCCAAGTTAGGACAGCTACCTGGGAAACACACTCTTCACAGGGAAGAAAGGGCTCCAGAGAATGAACAGTTTTTACAGGTTTATACACTTTTTACATCTTATACAAGGTCAACAGATTAAAGATGAACACATAGATGGGAATCACAAGTTTTAGCGTAATGGAATGCAGGGAGTAGGAAGTGTTGATCCATATCGCAAGGACAAGAAGGTTTTCCTTTAGGACAAGAAGGTTTTCCTTTGGACGAAAGGTTTCAGACCAAAGTTTCCTTTGGGAACAAGAGGGTTTCCTTTGGGACAAGAAGGTTTCCTTGGACAAGGGTTTCCTTTAAGGCTTGAGCCGCATTCATAAACAGATGCAGGCCATGTGTGGTGGAATCAGGGTTGGGGTTTGAACAAGTTTATGTACAGTTATGCTGACCTAGAAAGAAATCTAAAATGGTTTCCTTTGTATATTAGCCCTTTAGAAAGTTTTCGTCTCATCAGTACGATGATACCTTTCACATACCAGATTTAATTCCTGCCTCCAGGGAGAAAGAGGAGGGTCTGAGTGTCCTAGCATAGCCTGTCTCCTAAGTAATTCTTATTTAAGGAGCACCTGGGTGGCTCAGTCAGTTGAGCATCCAACTCTTGATTTCAGCTCAGGTCATGATCTCACCATTCATGAGCTTGAGCCCTGCATCAGGCTCTGTGCTGACAGCATGGAGCCAGTTTGGATTGCTCCCTCTCTCCCTCCCTCTCTCTCTCTCTCTCTTTCTCTCTGCCCCTCCTCTGCTCGCACTCTCTCTCAAAATAAATAAACTTTTTAAAAAAGGGATTTTTACTTAAAATAATCAATATGTCATTGTGGTACATTTTGGAGCAGGCTGCCCCTAGCCCCCACAATATCTGGCCAGATCCCGGATCCTCCACTAACCCACAGCTGATGTGTGATCGTCCTGGACGATCTTCAGCAAGAAACCTATTAGTCATTGTTGTCACAATCCCCCTTAACCCTCATATTTCATCTTATTTATTTTCTACCCACTGACGCCCTGCCTTTGCTCCTTAGCTATACCGCCAGGCTGTATTCAGAATTGAGTCCAATTTCCCCCTCTGCACTACAAAATCCCACTTGTGGAGATAGCCCCGCTGCCTGAAAAAAGTATCCGTAACTGTGCTTTAACAAACGTCATTGATTTTTTTCTTAAACAATTACACACTTTGAGATAGCTCTGGGAGTCTCCCCGGGAAAACGTGAAGCTGCAACACCGACGACTTAACGACCCAAAGCGATTCTCGGTGGCACCCACGCTTCTCCCCAAATCCTGGACACTCAGCCTCCCGCTGAGCACCCCCTGCTCTGGGCCACGTCCCGCCTCTCCCGCCGGCTCTCCGCCAGCAGCACAGACCCCGCCTGTCCTGCTCGGCCCACTAACTAGCGCCAAGCGCGGCCGCCGGGGTCCCGCGACACCCGTGCCTCCAGCCCGGCGTGTCCAGTCAACCGGGGCTGTGCACAAACCTGTCACCCTAGCGCGGACATACTGGCGCGTACAGTGTAAGAGGCCTCGGGGCTCTAAGTCTCACCTGGAACTGCCCGAAACAGTCACTGCAGGCAGCCGGCTCCTCGGACACCAAACACCCCCAAACTCACCTGAACACGCAGCCCGCGTCCTGTGGGACGTAAGGAGCAGGACCGGAAAGGCGGGAGGGAGGGGGACGCGACCACACCACAACCCGGCCCCGCCCCACCCTCGCCACGTCCAACACCGACCCCGCCCCTCCGGGGACGCACCCTCCCAGTTCACCCTACCTAGGCCCCGAACCACGCGGCCAGGTCCTGCACCGAACCCGCCCCACCGCTTACGTCTCCTTCTGGTCTTTGCTCATCCTCCCTACACGGGCCCCACCCCTCCGCTTCTGCCCCTTTAGGTCTCAGTTCAACCTCACTAGGCCCCGCCTCAGGCTGGCCACGTCCGGCACTGGCCCCACCCCCACCCCACTCACCCTCCCTAGGCCCCGCCCCACGCTCGTCACGACCTACACAGTCCTCGTGACGTCCCGTCCACTTCGCTCACCCTCCCTAAGCTCCTCCCCACGCTAGCCACGTCCTACACGGGCCCTGCCCCTCCACTGTTGTGTGGTCCCCGCTCTCCGCTCACCCTCTCTCAGTGCGGCCCCACGCTGGCCCGCCCCTCCGCAGACGTCCGGTCCCCTCTCTTCCTCCCCAGGCCACGCCCTTCGCGTAATTTCTTACTAACCCGGAAGCGGATTTCCGGAAGAGCAGGTATCGCTCGGTAAGTGAATTGTGGTGTTTGAGGTTTACCTCAGCCCCTTCCCGGCCCCATTCTCCATAGCCGGGGCCCAAGGATTCCTGCCACTTACTGGTCCCCGCCTCAGGCCCCGTAGCCGCCCGTCAGTCCCGGGGGGAGTTCAGCGTTGCCCTGAGACGCTCAGGACGTCGATCCCTCCGCTCCTCGGTCCTCTGGTCCGTGTCCGTTTCCGGTTGAAGTCGTTCGGAGGCCTCCCACAGAACCCAGTCCTCTTCTGAAACCCTCGCCATCCTCGTCCTCCCGCGGCCGGAAGCACGGTCACCGCCTCAGCGAGGCTCGTGGGCCCCGGCCTGACGGCAGAGACCGATCCCGTGCTAGGAACCCCCGTGTACTTAACGTCCCAATCCTGCTCCCGCTGGCTGTGTCTGACGCTGTGTTTGCCCTGTCCACATCCCACTGGAAAAGGGAGCTCTTCTGGGCAGAGATCAACTGTGATCCCATCCCTTTGAATGTCCAGTTGTGTCCGCAGGATGAGGATGCAAGAGGCACAATATAGAGATGGAGGGAGTAAGGGAGAGTCAAGTGGAGGATGGGAGGTGGGTGGTTACAATGGACTTTCACAGGAACAGTGACAGTGAGAAAGAAAGTGACCTGGGGAGAAGATAGTTCAGTATGTGAAAAGAGACGAAAAGATCAGTACGGAAATAGGGACAGAGTATGTAATCAGACTTTGACCAACAGTAGCATTGGGCGATAGCAGGTTGGATTGCAGTCTCATTAATTTTTTTTTAATTTCTAAATTGCTTTCCCTATTAAATTATTTGTCACATTCAAACTATGAGGCCACAGTGCTTTTCCTGTCCGCTATATACTGAAAGTGTTTTGCTGACTAGTAAATAATTTTACAATATTTCTGTGTGCAGTTGTTGGAGATACTGATGATTTTTGTCTTGACATTCAAAACAAAGTTTAAACAGGTATTCTAATATTCAACATCTTCCTTTTTCTCGATATTTTAATTATATGGTCTGAGAGCTAAGGTTTCCAACTAAGTTTATGATTTCTTTGAATTCCCTTTGCCCTTTTTTGTTGTTATTCTTTCACCAAATATCGTGGGATTGGCTGCATAGTCCTGGAACCTTTGTTCTAACTTGTCTCATCATGATTAATACATTGCTCAAAGGTACTTCCATACCTGCCTGACCTTGTACGTTTCCGCATGCCAATAATTAGGTCTTAATATTCCATTTTTGATGTATAAATGTGATGTTCTGGTAAAAAGAGAAGTTAAAAGCTTTTAATCAGTATGAGTAAAACCATGAAATAGAGACGCTGCTCTTGCTCAGGAGAAATACGGGCAGGAATTTTCAGGAGCAGGGGTGAGAAGGGCAAGCCTTACCACTATCAAATGCAATCCAACTCATGTATAAGGCCAGTAATGGTTACCTCCACTGGCCTCCTTTTCACATCTCTGCCTGGCCCAAAACACACACAGCACAGGGAAGCTGGGGAGGGAAAGCCCAAGAATTTTATAAATAATCGCTGAACAAAGGTATCTCTCTAGTGAGGAGGTGAGACTTGGCTCTGTGATGGAAAGGCACAGCACTTGGGATGTTAATGGATGGAAGGGAGCCTGGGAAGCTCAGAGACTGGAGAAAAGGAAAAGCCTGCACATCCTTCCTTGGTGGTCCTGTGTTCAGCATACGCTACAAGAGTGCAAGGAGTGTGACTTGAATGGGACACAAAGACTCACATTCCCACGGCTACCACGTGGCGTGTGGGCTTCACCAGGATTCAGGGTATTGTGAAGCACACGGTAACATGTGTTCCTCTCCATTTACAAGTTTATTGTCCCTGTTCCCTGGTGGCTTAGTGGAGGGTAGAGGGCCATCTGTTCCACGCGCTGATTTTCCTCCCCACTTGAGTGCTCGTAGCCCAGGAATGGGACAAGCTATTCAAAGACCTGATTGGCACATTTTCCAAACTGGAAAAGTTCTTTTATCTGATGATTACCCTCTCCTTCCTGAAATGCTGTTCTTAGGACATTCTGATCTCTGACACTCAGGTATCCTGCCTGACACATTTCCTCACTCACCCACGACTTTCCCTCAGAATTCTCCCCACTCCAGACCAGTTCCATCTCTCTGTGAGCCAGCGACATAGAACTTGTGAAGTGGCTCTGTTTAGAGGGTCTTTGTGACAAGTGCTTCATGCCCAGACATCAAGTAGGGAAAGGACTGGACACCGTGGTATCAGTGAGGTTTGCCCATACAGACTGTGCACCAAATCTGGATGTACTGTTAGCTCTTTACACACCAGGATTAAAGAAAGTGCACACATTAGTAGTGAATCTCAGGAGTGCCTGAAAAATCCTGGAAAAGAATACCAATAAGGGGAAATTTGTGGCACCCAATTGTGTAATGTATTTGAAGTTTAACAAAGTGAATGTGTGCATTTGAGCTAAAACTATTAACAATTTGCAATAGAAGGCAGAGATTACAAACCAATAGCCATGACAAAATACGGCGGCACTTCACACGTGATGAGTGCTTTATTCACTAATTGTTATTTAAAATCAACCTAAGTGTCTGACATAAAGAGGGTTTTAAATTGTTAACAGCACATCGATCCCAGTGAGATTTAGTCTTCAAGGATCTGTAAAGAATCAACGTCTCTGCAGTTGGCTGAGGGTTTCTACACTCTGGGTAAGTAGGAGTTTGCTGGGCCAAGAAGTAGCACCTTTCACGTTGTGATAGATTCTGGCCCAGTGACC